CTCTAGACTTTCTCCGGGGGCTGCGTGGTCTCGAGGTCGGGGTTACTTCGTCTCTCTAGACTTTCTCAGGGGGCTGCGTGGTCTCGAGGTCGGGGTTACTTCGTCTCTCTAGACTTTCTCAGGGGGCTGCGTGGTCTCGAGGTCGGGGTTACTTCGTCTCTCTAGACTTTCTCAGCGGGGCTGCGTGGTCTCGAGGTCGGGGTTACTTCGTCTCTCTAGACTTTCTCAGGGGGCTGCGTGGTCTCGAGGTCGGGGTTACTTCGTCTCTCTAGACTTTCTCCGGGGGCTGCGTGGTCTCGAGGTCGGGGTTACTTCGTCTCTCTAGACTTTCTCAGGGGGCTGCGTGGTCTCGAGGTCGGGGTTACTTCGTCTCTCTAGACTTTCTCAGGGGGCTGCGTGGTCTCGAGGTCGGGGTTACTTCGTCTCTCTAGACTTTCTCAGGGGGCTGCGTGGTCTCGAGGTCGGGGTTACTTCGTCTCTCTAGACTTTCTCAGGGTGCTGCGTGGTCTCGAGGTCGGGGTTACTTCGTCTCTCTAGACTTTCTCCGGGGGCTGCGTGGTCACAGGTCGGGGTTACTTCGTCTCTCTAGACTTTCTCCGGGGGCTGCGTGGTCTCGAGGTCGGGGTTACTTCGTCTCTCTAGACTTTCTCCGGGGGCTGCGTGGTCTCGAGGTCGGGGTTACTTCGTCTCTCTAGACTTTCTCAGGGGGCTGCGTGGTCTCGAGGTCGGGGTTACTTCGTCTCTCTAGACTTTCTCCGGGGGCTGCGTGGTCTTGAGGTCGGGGTTACTTCGTCTCTCTAGACTTTCTCAGGGGGCTGCGTGGTCTCGAGGCATCGACTTGGACTTCTAGTAATTCCCCCTGGTCTCTGGGTAATGAGATCGGACGCCAGTGTGCATTGTTGCACTAGTAAAAAAAAAATCCCTTGGCAGATGGACATCGAAAAAGAGTAGCCTAACGGTGCTGCCCGGGCACAAATTTGGAGTTATAAATCTACCCAAAGTATTTCAGAATCCTCGCCGGTGCTACAGAGCCTGTGCACTGTGCTGAGCTTCTTCTCAGACTTGAGTTAAAAGGAGAACGCAGCACTTATGGATTACTACTCGTGTGCCATGATGTTTTCCGTTGTTCAAACCTCAAACCTCTTGACCTTCTGGTAGCCGAAGTGGTTCAGTGGTTAAACGCTTGTACGCTCACCGGAATGAACTTTTTAAGATCTGGCCTGGTTCAAGGTCACTGCCGCCTAAAATGGATACTACGACTCCTTTAAAAAAAAAAAAAAAAAAGCGGTAGTTATGATGTCAGCTGCACCACCCACCGAATCACAATTGGTCTATAGAAATGAGGCTAAGGGCCATATGACTGGTGCACCACCCGCGTGAACAGAGTCTTTCCATTTCACTTGACTCCTCTATCAAGTGTTGGGATTGTTAAAATCTTAGCCTTTTCCTATTGTTTTCGCCATCAGAATTTGACAACTCTGTTAGTTCGCTGTTACTTTCCCCATTCACATACTCTTACACATTGCTCTCTTCTGATTGGTCGACCTTGAGCAACGTGGCCTTAGCACAAGGTTACGGGGGTGTTCCGCATGCCGTTGATATCGTATGTTGTGAATTTCAGCATGCCAGCGCGTTGACACTTCAAAAAACATCGACACACTCGGTCTAACACAAAAACCCCTCTACATAGTGATGAAACCTATGTCACAGGCATTCTCTTTTTCGGAATCAAAACGCAAACGCTCCAGAAAGCAAACAAAAGATCGGCACACCCGTAACCTGTAGAAAAGTAGACAAGCCCAACACATTTCTAAATAGAACGTGACCTACTTTGCTTGGGAAGACTAGCATTGAACTAAATGACAATTCTGATCTGTCGATCGTTTTTGATTAATATATAACCAAACAGACATGCATTGGTCGGAATTCACTGAAAGAAGTAAACATATTCAAGGCCATTATAAACGCCCCGCAAATCAGGCCGAGAATCAAACCTGTCAGTTCTAAACGACGACAGCGCCATGCTGCAAGAACATGTGTGACGAAAGCGCCTAGTTACGGGAACAAGTGCACTGAGACGCATGACCAACTACCCACCCCTAAAACAGAAATCTGTATTAGTGATATCTATCGTACAGCTTGATCCCGGACACAGCTGATAGAAAAACATGTCTATTTCGCCAACAAGATCGGCAATGGACAATTTCATGAATTAAAATGTACTCAGTTTGGCGTGGCCGCTGCGCTATGGGTAGGTGCTCTCCTACGACCCTAAATTCTTGGGTTCCATTCCGCATCAAGTGGGTTGTTTGGTTCAGAAGTGACCTTGTCCACTGCATCGACCCAGCCTGAAGCGGGTGGGTACCAGGTAGTGTCTTGATGGATTGGGGGGGGGGGGGGGGGGACATCATCAGTACCCACTTACACTAGACTACAGGTTAATTCATCAGGTGTTTTTTTTTCTTGTGTGTCCCACTGTAGCTGTGATATATGGCTGGATAGTTGAACGAAGTTTCTGGAAGATCTACCTATTTCCGCCGGAACCCTATTGCAAGGGGTGGGAAGAGGGTGACGACTCAACGGCCTCACTAACAATCATGTCGTAAGAGTCGACTATTTAGAGTTTTTTTTTTTTTTGAAGCTGGAGTCCATCTCCCTGAGAGGCAACGAACACACATTCTGCATACAAAAAGGCCAGGTCTGTAAAACGGATGTGCACGCAACACTCAAGTTCTGGAACAAAACTGACATCTAGAAGTAGACCAACAACCAGAACTCTTCGCCAGAGTTTACAACCGGTGAAGAAGTTACGGAGATGTCAGTCTTACAGACTGCAATCATGGAGGGTACAACTTAATTTTTTTTAAACATAAATAAATGCAGGTGTTCAGTGCGATGTACTTTACACGAAGTGAATAGAAGGGCCCGTTCCATGGATCTTTTCCTGTCCTGACGCCACGAGGCATTCCGTGAGTAGAGAAAAGAAGAAGAAAAAGAAGTGCGATGTTGGTCACACAGCCCATTGACTGCTCGATCGGTCTCTACAATGAGTCCGCCGGCATCGTGAGCCGGGTGCACCTTTCGTGTAAAACGGTTCCTTGGTGCTTTATTAATATCTTACCCCAAACAGGGGGAATCCACACGTCACGGCACATTCTAATATTTCCGGGGATGGTAGATAGGCTGCATGCAGTCGTGGGACCTAGGATACATGCAGTCGTGGGACCTAGGCTGCACTCTCTCGTGGGACGTAGGTTGGTTGGGGTTAGGACTAGTTCTAGATGTTTTGGGGTAGTTAAAAGCATCAGAAAGCCGAAACTCAGTCTTACCACCCTCTAAAATGTTGGACTGTTTTGTAACGTCATCTGGGGAAGGATATTAATAAAGCACTGGGTCCTTTACTTACTTTTTTTTTTTTAACTGTTTGAATTTTCCTTGTCTTTTCTATTAAATCGCTAACATTCCTCTGTTTATTTATGTGTATTACGTACAAATGAAGCGACCAATCAAATATCTGCCTGAAACGTTCGTCATGTTCTAGACACAGCGTTACGTTCCACTGTGTTTATAATTGTTGTTGTGTGTGTTGTTCGGCCACTGCTCGCTTAATATAAATCCATGTAACCCACGATGCCATTTCAATGGTTTGAGACGAATTCTGTCCGTATAATATAGTTGTGAATTTCGAGCTATATACAGACATTGCTAATAAAGACATCTGTTTTAGGGGTGCCTATCTGGTCATAGATCTTAGTACACTTGTATCCATGGCAACGGCATTCGTCATTTGGCAGTGACAGGTTCGATTCCCGGCACGGTAACCAAAGATTCCGATTTTTATGTTGTATTGCGTGTTCTTCTGTCTTTCTGCTTCTTTTTGTGAGTGCCGATCAAAACATTCTCTGTTGATTATATATTTATGCCTCCTCGGGGGGGGGGGGGGGGGGGGGGGGGGGGGGGGGTTGGGGGTTCCCTACCCCTCCACTACTTTATTTATGTGTATAACTTTTCCTTATCATGTCCACTATCTAAAACTGGCTATACCTATCTGTTGATTGTTTCTTCTTCTTCTTAGCGTTCACCGGCTGTAAACCCCGGCGGATAGTTCTGGTTGTCTGTCCACTTCTGGACTGCAGTCCTGTTCCAGAACCTGAGTGTTGCGTGTGTATCCGTTTGACAGATCTGTATGCAGATTGTTGGTTCCTTGCCTCTCAGGCAGATGCTCCCCAACTTCGAAGGAAGCTCCCAATTAGTCGACTCTTACGACATGCTTTTGGGTAGGCAGTGGGTCTGTTCTTGTTTTTCCCATAGTAGGGCCCCGAAATCCACACGGGGAGTGTTGATTGTTTAATAACAGCTCTTTGTTTGTGTTTTCTTGCTATATAAAATAACAAATATCCTGACAAACCTCGCCCATACGACAGTCACAACAGTAATCAATTATGACGTTACGTAAAATCGCCAGCGACATTATGTGCCATCATCCTGTAGCTATAGAGAATTGAGCCGACGAAAATCCCATGTGCCACCCCAAAGTTCGCGTGTTCCTGCACGCGTGATGACGACGTCACAGCCAATCAGATGTCTCGCGGATGGAAACCCCTCCTTCGAGCGTGCGGGGAAGGCTACCTTAAAATAAGAAGCACATGTTCTTTTAGCACCAGGTCCCAAGTCAGAAAGAAAAAGCAAAAGATGTGTCCGTTTTTCCAAGTTTTCCCAGTATATACACAGTAACTGTGGATTTGAGATATATTTGTGCTACTTGTTAACGTGACAGTACAGTCTGAGGATAACTTTTTCATTGAACATTTCCACTGAAACATTGAGTAGAGTTGTAGTATGTCCGGTTTGTGTGTACTACTACTAGTGAGTGTAGGCGTTGGGTTCCGGTCGCTGAGAAAGTTTCCTGTTTGTAAAGTTACGTTTTTCTGAAGTTTTCCTAAGGTGAGTCGGAAGGTGAGCTTTCACAGACAGCTTCTACTAAACGTTGGCCGTTAAATATGGATTACTTCAGCGAAGCAGATCCACTCATTTCATCTGCTATTTACCCCGGAGTCATGGATTTTGACCCGTATTCGCGATCACTACATCTAGAAGATCCACATAATGACATTAACATGCATTTAGACAGCCCTGACTCAATCGAGACGTATGAGTCAGAGATGGATCTGGCATTCCATGACAACCAGTCAGTGACATCAGCGGCGTCAGCTGTTGATGACATCAACGACACAGTACCTGCGATTCACCACAAGGTTGACGATGACTTCATCGAGGCGGATAGAAGACTTGTTAATGAACGATTTGCCCCGTACGACATGTTTCCTGCAGACAATACATGGACGCTAGAGGAGCGAGTAGAAAAGTTGCTACAGATAAGTCCTTGCACAAAATACACAAAGGAAGATTTGTTAGGCATTGACGCTATTGAAAGTCCAGAGAAAAAGGTAGACATGCTTATTGAGGTCGTATCCAAGGTGCACGTGAATCATCGCTGGAATTACGTTGAGCCTCATGAACTCCACAGAGGCTACACCGTGGTGGCCAACTGTAAGAAGGAGAAGAAGAAAGATGCAGACGGACAGTCTTGTCCCAAGAGGCCAATGAATGCTTTCATGATTTGGTCGATGAAGTGTCGGGCACTTATTGCACAAGTGACCCCGCAGCTTCACAACGCTATTATTAGCACCAAGCTCGGGGCCGCCTGGAGACAGTTCCACGACGAGGAGAAAGCGGTGTATGAAAGGGAGAAAGAGATTTTAAGCAGTTTCCATAAATTCGAGTTTCCCAACTACAAGTATAAGCCTAAAAAGAAAGCTAAAAGAAATGATGAAAAACCAGTTGCTGAACCTAAACAGGCAAAGTGTTTGAAAAGGAAGAGATCAGAATGTAGCAACCAGATAGCGCCACTTCGCGGTATCAGCATTAGTGATGCCCGCCAGAGTTTGGACCCTCTACTGAAGGAGAGATTGCAGGTCAAGATGCAGGTAAAGATTGATCCAGACATGAAGAGAGGCATAGGAAGACGTCTCACGGCAATCGATTTAGCTGACCTGACGGCCTTCCACCAGCATGATCTCACATCTACACAAACACTGGCCAACACCCAACAGCGTTTCCACGGCACACCTACCGCAGTCCACCTCGTCATTGACAACAAACCTGCATCTGTGTTTGACACCCCAGAAAACTCACCCAATAAACCCGTTACCCCCATTACCCCTACAGAACTGTCACTAGGCAACGAGCACGGAATGTATATGAGGAGTGACAGATGTTTTAGCTTCGATGACAAGTCCTCCAGGACAGCAGACGACTGTGACAGCCTGCACAGGATCCAGGCTCACGACAGGTACATCAAACACGAGCCGTACGAACAGCCATGCATCAGTTCCGAGCCGGGTAAGTGGAATATTCATCTCAGTATCAAAACTGAGCCGCAGGAATACCTCGGTCTCTACTCCACACACCATGTTATCAAATGTGAGCCCGAACATATGGTCCCGCCCGTCCTTATCGAGGGAAACATGCCCATCCTATCGGCGGAAACAGTCGAGTCAGTCCTTGACAACGAGTGCACTTCGAGCTTCAACAACGAGGAACTTCTAGATGACTTCATGAAGTACCTAGATAACGACATCTGTTTTTCAGCAGATCTGTTACCGGGCGTTACACAAACATTAGAAGGGCCAGCTACTGTGTAAGACACAGCTATGAGGATTTGTAAATCCCATATGATCCTCTTGAATTCTGCTCCCTGTTCATTGCCTGCCGTTTTGGGCCTTATAATTGATCCGTTACTGACTACCTCATTTGATCAAATGTCTGTCTAGTCGCCCTGACTTCAAGAAAGATGGTTTGGCTGCAGGTAGCCAGTGATGATTGTCTATAGGTGAATTCCCTGAAGGCTGTCGAGGCCTTGGCCTTTAACGACGTTGGTGGGCTATTATTGACATGTGTGCTCATACAGACCTTGCCTTGAACCTCGAACGTGTGCTGTGTATCACCGATTGGCCATTCCTTATCTATGGCAATAGATGGCTGGCTAACTAGCCTCTTGCCATTGTACATTAATTCAAACAGTTTAAAACTCAAGAGTTTATTAGTTACTCCGGACCATTTCGTTCATGGAATACATATACCAGGTACTGTAACTGTGGGGCTAGCCGTTGCAGGTAATGCCTGCAACTCTCTCAACAATTATAACTGCAACTAGATGCTAGAAACAGGTCAGCATTTGTAACCAACAGATAAGCAGGTTAGCAGTAACTGCGGAACGGTGTATCATGTACAGTACGTTTGGGTTTTATCGTGTGAAGTTGCTAATTCACGCCATGGGTAGCTATCTGTTGGAATTGCTGGTGCTTGAAATCATTTAGCGCCAAAATCAGCAACAAAATATTAATTCTGCTACTTTAGGCTCGTCAGCACGGAATGTTTGTCATATGGGAAGCCAGACTTGGACCACAGGGGCACACAATAACACGAAGCCATTTGGGCGTCTCGGTGAGTTGTCAGATACATCACGTTTTTAAAAGAAGAACAAGAAAACGGAACTTCTTGAATGTATACATATGATTAGACCAACAGCTAACGAACAGAAACGGCAAATACATCATATAGATTGTGTGTTGCGCATTAGTTCAACGTCTGCCCTTATACCTACTGCTTGAACCCGCTCCCGCCAAAGTTCTCACTGAAACCGTCGTCGAAGACGCTGCAAGTCGCTAAGTCTGACATCGTGGATCGGTAAGCTTTGATGACGTATAGCACAACAACGATAGAAGCAGACGGAAACCATCTTGTAAATAGATATTCATGATTTTACTTCTGTATTAACTTATGAAGACGTCTTATCTTTAAACGGATCTTGTGTTGTAAAATAATTAAACCCAGCACAAACTATGACTAGAAGGCTCAACCAAGAGACTGGAGCAGAGAGCACAAAAACAACCGAGCATTTCAATCGGAGTCTTTATCAACGGGCAAAAGAACCAACTAATTAAACAAACGACGGGTTCCACATATTATGTTTAGTTATTTCTTGATATCAGCCGAACTGAAGTGGCCCATATTTACGTGTGTAGTAAACACAATTTTCTACTTTACACCAACTTTATACTGTACGAACAAATGATGGATAATATTGACTTGAGCGTGTCCAACGAACTAATGTGCCATAAACTTTTTATAACGACCTACTCTTGATGCAGCCAGGGAAGTAAGCCCAACCTTTATAAGCAACTGTTGTTGTGGTTTGTTTTGATGATTACACTTAAGCCTGCCATCAACATCGTTATTGTTACAATTAACATTCCCTAGCAATAACAACAAATAACTGTGCCTCATCATTTTATTTTGTTGTAATTTTTGAATTTTACAATGTTATTGTTACACATGTTGTGTTGAGATCACTAACATTAGAATTTGTGAATTTTTTTTTAAAATTATTACAGGTCATATTTTTCACATACATGCATTATCTTGGCTGTTTCGTCAAACATCATACGTTAGTGTTTATATTCTTGTTTGTCTAAACATAACCGTTCAATTTTGTTTCAGACATTATATGTAAGTGTTCACGTTCTCCTTAAGCACACATACCTTTGGTAATATAAAACATATGCTGACCTCAAATATTTGTCTAAAACAGGCCGCACATACAACGGTGCTTGTCTACCATAATCACCGTGATGCACCCCTCTCCCCTTTTTTTTTTAATTCCAAGGGCAACACTTTCACTGTTTGTCTAAAACAGACAAACAAACAGTTTTATGTGTCTATAAGTGACAATACTGGCATGGCTGTTTGTCTAAAACACATCCGCCCTACATGATTCTGGCGCCTTTACTTCTTAGGACTTCACCTGCTACCCATTCAAGGCTGTGTCGACCTAATGCCAAGGTTATTTCTTCTTCTTCTTCTTCTTCTTCTTCTTCTTCTTCTTCTTCTTCTTCTTCTTCTTCTTCTTCTTCATCTTCCTCTTCTTTTTCTTCTCGTTTACTAGCTGTAATCTCCAGTGGAAAGTTCTGGTTGTTCGTCCACTTCTGGACTGTAGTGCTATTCCAGACCCTCAGTGTTGAAACTTCGAGAATTAGCATTTTCATTGAAAAGGTCATAAACTATCGTCAGTGTGAGCCCAAATTCAGTCAAACTAGACTGATTCACTATAACGCATACCACACACACACCAGGCCGAATATAAACTACAGTGAAACCTCTTTAACATGAATTCTAAGGGACAGAAAATTAAGTTCGGGTTAAAAGCAATTCACGCTAACGGGGGAAGAGGGGGGTCAACCTAACAGTAAAAAATCCTTAATGGGACCATTATTTTGTTTATGTTTACCGAGTTTTTCTTAAAGCGAATTTATGTTAACGAGGGTTTACTGTAAAACAATGCTAACTTGACAGGTTTTGTTCCTAATACGTATACTAGTTAGTTGCCTATCCTTTACAGGACATTGCAGAATCAACCTCAGCCATGTTTTGGCTATTGTGGCTTTTTTAGGCAAATTAACGTCCAGTAGTTTGCCACTGCTTTCTGGACGTTCTAATACTTATACAGTTTCTTAAACCAATCACTACGTAAAAGTACTATATATGTGTGTGTGTGTGTTTCTTTTTCATTAAAATTAACAAAGTGTATTATTAACAGACATGTTTACAAAGAATCTTATGTGCCTACAGAATTTTTAAAAATATGAAAACATATTTTCTGAGAACAAAACAACAAGAGTCGCACGTGTGTATGTGCGTGCGTGTGTGTATGTGCATGCTCGTGTGTGTACGTGTGCGTGCGTGTACGTGTGTTGCATTATGATCTCTAATACAACCTGAAGGCAGTGGAGGTTCGAGCTGTGAACACAGAGGGGTGTATAATAATGTTTATACTGTGTAGTTTTTTTTTTTTTTTAACCCTCTGTTTATGTTTTTGAAAATCTCAGAACTAACGATTAGCTGTTGATTCTTGTGTGGAATCAAACCAGCGGAGTGTATATTGAAATGTATTGTATTTGGATATTGGTATTCTCTCGTGTTGATGCTTGTACAGGGTTGAGCCATGTCTTTATCATTACGTTTCCAGAACACACAGGGGGCGGTTGGGTGCGCCAAATTTTTTGGGTGTGGCTGAAGGGGGCATAAAAATGGAGGGAAAACATGATCTAGACTGCTTGTGCGAGCAATTGGTTGAGCAACTTTTCTGTGATACAGAAAGACTGTCAGTGTGTACTCGTTGAGTCGATAAATGAGCATTATTACTGTCGGTAATCGTTGAACCAATGCAGTATGAATTCAAGAGTGAAAACCTAAGGAATGTAGAAGCGTAAGCTACAGAGTATCGGGAGCCGGTGTAACGGCGATACTTATTTACTGACCTGAAGGTTCCGAGATTTCATTCGCCGCAAGGATGAGTTTAAAACAGACCTGTTCTCCCACAACAAACAGGAGATCCGCCATAACATCTTTTTTTTTTTAAATTTCCAAACGAAAAGAGTTAAGTTTTGTAGCCACCCTTAAAGTCACTTTGCTGCAGTCTGTACATAGTTATTCTGTATTCTATGAAAATTGACCCCAATATCTTTCGCCTCATTCAGTTGCCTTATCAAAATGCAACTAGGAACTCTAAAAACAGTGCCAGGAATCGTACGCTAACCCTTACAATACAAAGCGACTCGCAGTGCGTCAACTGGTTAAACATTACAAGGTGTGGTTTTCTCAAATCCTTATACTCCATCTCGCGGGCACATTAACCAATTCTAATCCTGTCTTGACTGTTACTCATTGTGTCATAAAGGTCCTGTGTTCTTCTTCTTCGCGTTCACCGCCGGAAAGTTTTGTGGGTTCCAGGCCCCTGTTGAGGGAAAAACTAGAATAGACCCATTGACTATCCAAAAGCATGTCGTAAGAGTCGAAGTCGGAGTGCATCTGCCCGAGAGGCAAAGAACCAGCAGTCTGCATACAAAAAACGGCAACACTCAGGTTCTGGAACAAGACTTAAGTCTAGAAATGGTGAACAACTAGAACTTTCCACTGAAGTCTACATCCGGTAAACTCGAACACAAAGAAGAAAAAGACCAAATGATTTCATTCGTAAGAAATAATGTAATAATATTTTTCTAATTGTAGAGAAAAAACATGAGGTTTGATGGGGTAGAGGTGAATTTATTGACCTTCCCCTGATTTGACACCCATCTTCACAAACGTATGTTGTCAGTGGTTGAGATTAACAGAAGAGTGAAACAGACTCTTCTAGCTTTGAAGAATATTTATTGCATTCTGTGAGGAAGTATTTATTCAAGCTCAAGGTGCAATTGCTTCCCCTGCCTGTGATAGTATCTTGCGGAAGCGTGCGAGGCTCCCAGAGTCGAATCATTACAACAATAATTGCTGAATATAGTTTGTGATGGTCAACCATAATTTATTTTTGAGAGAGAGAGAGAGAGAGAGAGAGAGAGAGAGAGAGAGAGAGAGAGAGGTTATAAAGGAACATACCACGGAGTAATTACATAATATGATATGATAGTCAATATCAAACTGAATGAATGGTATGGGAGTAAGTAAGTAATTAAATGTTACCCCACTAGGACATCACAAAGAGCGATGAAAAGTGCGACCCTGTGGATAAGGATCACCCGTGGAGAGATCCCAGAAACCGCGTTCAACCGCCAGGCTATATTTGCGGCCCCCGGCAATTGCCAGA